ACAAAATTGTAAGACATGTATAGGGCAAGATGGTGGATGAATGGGTACTTCCACGTCTTTGGAGATCACACCACCTGCCCACACCTGGATATTTTTATCAACCCTAGAGCTTGCTTCAATTTGTTACTTAGGGTTTTATGGTTCATTACATAGGACAATTGATTAAGTCATTGGCCATTAGTGATTTGTTCAATCTACAGTCCTTTTCTCCTTTCTGGAAGTTCTGGGATGAAGCTAAAAGTTTCAACCTTCTAATCTTTCTTGTGATCAACCCCCATCCTCAAGCTAAAGATCTTTAGCTTCTTTTTGAGTTATCTCAGTATGAAAGCAAAGGTATTTCCCTCACTAAGAAGATTCCAAGGGTTTTGGAAGCCCTTGCCAGGAACCAAGGACAAAGACCAAATATCTTTTTTATGATTCCAGAAGTACATTTTTCATGAACCCTTTTCAAAACAGGTCTGAGGAAGTTTACACAAAAGAACATAAATATGGTCAAATCAATTTTGAAATAGAAAATAAAGGCTGTTGCCTTTTTAAAATTAGTAAATATTTCCAGTACATACTGTTTACTTTCTTTGTGTGGAGTTGGTACATATACACAGCAGATCTTAATTCCCGTTCTTCATTCCCTTGCCTTCCCTCCATCCCTTGACCCTCCCATGTGAGAAAGCTCTACCTCCCTACTTTGTATTATCTGCCTTTTATTTTACTCTTTATTTATTACACTTACAGAGTGTGACATTAGTGGGACGGATAACAACCCTCCAAAGATATCCACATCATAATTTCGAAGACTTGTGATTGTACTATGTTACATGGCAACAGAGAATTAAGGTTGCAAATTGAATTGAATGTGACAGTCATGTGACCTTAAAATAAGATTATCCTGGTGAGCCCCCATGTAATCGCAAGATTCCTTAAGTGACAAACTTGGAGGCAGAAGAGACAGAGAGGTGGCATCATGAAAATGGATTAGCTAGCCACTTCTGACTTTGAAGATGTTTCTGCTTCCACTTCTGGTATATTTTCCCCATTGCTCCCTCGCTATTTTCAGATATCTGATCAAGGGACAGTAATAGAAAAGTCTTCCTTGTCCATTCTCTGTAAAGGGCTCCTCTTTCATCACTTTCCCCCTTTAATCTGCTTTACTCTTCTTCATGGCCCTTGTTACTACCTGAAATTATATTCTTACTATCTATATCCTACATACTCCACTAGAATGTAGTCTCCACATGAGCAGGGGCTCTGACCTTTTATTTACTACTTATCTGGGTATCTACGTGCTAGGCAAATAGAAAGCTCTCAGTAAATATTTAATGAATAAGTGAGTGAATGCTTTCCAACTACCTAGTCATTTTCCCAGAGAAGTTTTCATAATAAACTTTCCCCATCTTGTTATATTTTAAGTGACCCGTGAGAGTTCTCAGAAACTTGGGTAGCTTCTTGCTGGCCTCTACATGATCAGACTTTGAGTGGTGACAAATTTAGTATTTGTATGCTTGCCAGAGTCAACAACATCTGTTTCAGTTACCTAGCACTTACTTCTTCCAAATTCTAAACTGGTTCTCACACAAATAATAGGTTTCAGGATTGCTGTTTTCAAACTTACTTTAGCTTTCATCCCTTTGCTCAAAGGATGAGAAATCCAACATGTAAAAGTAAACATGTTAAAGCAGCTATGCTCTTCAGCTCCAAATTCATCCCTCTACTCCCTAAAACTTGCAAGGGGGCTACCCCCCACTGACTCTTCTGAGATCACATAGCTTGGAGACTTCTGTCACCAGGAATATAGAATTCCTGTTGATCTTTCAGCTCAGTGGTCAATAAACAATAGTCTCCTGAGTACTGTGTACTCTGTGTACTCCAATGTATCACTATTGGAGTCATGGAAATATGTCTAAAGAGCAAAAATGCATGGAGTTCCGCCTTTGTCTTTTTACAAGTGTCCTCTGGATCTACATAATCTAAGATCTTTTAGTCCTTTCTCAGATTTCTCATCTGTCAAAAGACCTAAGATGTTTCAATCCTAGCTACCTCAATGAGATAATATCATTAATGTAATGGAAAGAAAATTCTATACATCCTTCTTTTCTTCTGTCTCAAAGGCTATACATAGTTACTATAAAAATCAATTTGTTTAGAGGTCAAATAATTACATATGAACACAGTAATCTGATCCACTTCACCAGGTTGAGGTACAATTATAGAAACAGCTTTTGTTTTCCCTTTAATCATTGGGCCCCACATGTTCCCCCTAGCAAGAAGCCAAATATCTCTCTCCCGAGCTTCCTCTCCTTTCTTCCCAAGGGATCCTGGGCTTACTCAGACAGAATTATCAGGGCTGCTGCTTCCAAATACCACAACAGTGTCACTAGTGGGTAGCTAATCTCGTTTTGAGCCGATTTTCTCATGTTGCTGCCATCCAGGATTAGAGGAAAAGCAGTGGTCTGTTGCCCTGCTGTTTCACACTCTTAACAAAGTTGTCAGGGTTCCTGGGCCTTTTTTCAGCAATGTGCACATTTATCTTACATACCCATGGTCAAGTGTACCCATTCAGGCAAGGAGACTCACAAAAGAGCTCTGCACAGAGGAACTTCTAATCTGCAGCCCACTGGACTAGTGGTTCTTTAATATACAGCATGCATTTTCAACTCACTGTCACTCTCTCCCATTTTTCCTTCTTTTTAGAGTAGTTTTTTATTCTTCTACTGGCTACTGTTATTACAAAATGAAGATTCAAGAAAAGACAAAAATCTTTATTGGTGCCACACCTTTGCCCTTTACTAAAAGAATGAAGCTTTATATTCTATTTCTATTCTGATTATATTAAACTTTAAATGTTAAAAAAGTCAAGAATTGATGTTTTTATCCCTCAGGAAGGTAAACATTTAAGAACACTTTTACTTGCCCTTTTTCTATCATTCTCCTTACTCTCTATTGTGTCACTTCCTGGGTTTCCTTTTCTAAAATCAAACCTAAAATTGCAAACTTGCATTTTCAAGTTTTTAACCTTACCTTTCTGCTTTTATTTTATTTATTATTATTATTATTATTATTATTATTATTACTTGTGGTACAGGGGTTGAGTCCAGGGCCTCTCACATTCTACAGCAAGCCCTTAGTCACACCCCAGTTTTATTTCCTATTTTAAAAACCCTTTTTAGTGACTCTATAACCAGAATTCAATTACTCAGATTTAACTATAACTGTCACTGGTTCTATCGCTTACCACTATTTCTTACTGATCACACTTCTGAATTTTTCCTCTTAAATATTATTTTCTGACTCACATTTATTTGAGTAACTTGTTAAGAACATTTTTCTTAAAGAAGATATAAGTTCTTACATATTTAAAGCTGCCTTTTCTTCCTCAGATATAAGAATGATTATTTAGCTGAGTATATAATTTTAAATATATAACTACTCTACACATAATATCATAAAACATTGACCCATTATTTTCTAATACATGTTACATGATGAGAAGTTTAATGAGGATAAGATTAACTTTGTATGAAACTTTTTCTGTTCAAATCTTAGTTCAGATCTAAACTGCTTGATGAGGACTTTCCTTTCCAACTCTTTAAATATCAATCATCGCATCATCTCCATCCCACTTCCTTGTTCTCTTCTATAACACTTACTGCCTTCTAATGTATTATAACCATGCATCAATTAATGACGCTGAGAAATGTGTCATTAGGTGATTTTGCTGCTGTGCGAATATCCTTGCACAAACTGAAATGGTTTAAGTCAATCACTCCATATGGCCTCTTTGATACACTAAAGAGATGCAGTAAATACAAGGCATATGAGGCTGTGGCTGATATAACATATCCTCTTGTCCATGGTAAATTTTAAAATTTGTAACTATAGGAAGTATAGTAAGTATGGGATAGTAAATTCATAAAAGTATAGTAAATAATAAGTATAGTAAATTCAAAAAGAGTAACAGTCATTTATCATTATCAAGTATTATATACTGAACATAATTGTATGTGATATACTTTTACATAACTGGCAATATATTAGGTTTGTTTACATCACCATCACCACAAATGTGTGAATAATACATTACACTATGATATTACAACAGCTAATATGTTGGGGGGTAGGAATTTTTCAGCTCCTTTATAATCTTATGGGACCACCAAGATTTATGCAGTCCATTGTTGACAAAAATGTTAATATGTGGTACCTGGCTATTCATAACTTACTTTATTTTTTTTCTTTTATTGAGTTTATTGGTAAATTTTAGGTATACAGTACAATTACATTCCATAACTTTTATTTTATGCATCCCTTCACCAAAACATAGGCTTCAAGAAGGTGTGGAGTATTTTTTTTTCTTTTGTTTAAATTTGTCTTTCCTCTGAGAACTAACACTTTGCTCTAAGTTCTACGCCTCCGCATCCCTGAATTGTTGGAGTAGCTTCTGATTAATCATCTAGTCCTAAAACCTTCCAAAGGTAAGGAAAAAACATAGAGGGAATCAATTACTAGATCCTTACCTTTCAAAGAAATTCTGGATTGCCACAGAGTGTGCCTGTGTTGAAATCAGCCCTTTTCCTACATTCTAAAATAAAATAATATATCTCACCCATTCCAAGTCCTTCAGTGGAGAATCTGAGTGCAAAAAGAACAAAGAGACTGAACGCTGTAGTGATTAATCAGGACATACTTAACTCAATGCTTTTTCTTTCCCAGCACATATACTTTGCAGTTAAGAGTAAATCACTGTATTATTAACAGAGCATGTTTACATAAGGATTTTTTTTAAAAAGTTAAGCAATTAATTTTAGGTATTCCTAATATTTATTTCTAGGATTTATAATTATTTACAAATGCAAGTATTTCAACAATAACAAAGCTGAACAGATGAGTGTGTTATTATCTATTACTACACAACAAACTACCACAAACTTAGTTTAAATAAAATAACACACATTTATTATTTCACTTTCTGTGGGGTCAGTTTCTGGCCACAGTTTAGCTGCGTTGTCTGCTTAAATTTCACAAGGTTACAATCAAAGTGTACTGCGGCTGCATTCTCACCCGTAGATTTGACCAGAGGAGGATCCACTTCCAATCTCACATAATTTATTGGCATAATTCATTTCCAGGCAGTTGTACAAGTCAAGGTGTAGGCTCAGCTCTTAGAGGCAACTATCAGTGCCTAATGGCACCTGGCATCCCCAAGAAACTGCCAGCAGTTTCTTGCCATGAGCTTCTCCAACATGGCAAATTATTTCTTCAGATCAGTAGTGAGAGGCTCTCACGTGAGTTTCCTAGCAAGGAAGAGTCTGCTATAACATTATATAATCATAGAATCACTTTTTATCACCACTGCAACAGTATTCTATTGGTTAAGGAATGGGGAACATACATTAATCCACTTCCTGTCACTGTGAAAAAATACCCAAGACACCAACATTTTAAGGAAAAAAAAGGTTTGTTTTAGCTCATGGTTCCAGAGCTTTAAGCTTATTGCTTGGCCCTGTTGCTTTGGGTCTGCACCAACATAGTGCATCAAGACAGGAGTGCATGGCAGATGGTCTGTTCATCTCACAGTAACCAGGAGACAAAGAGAAGAGGGTCCCAACAGTACCTACAAGGGCACTCCCCCAATGACACAACTTCCTTCTCTTAGGCCACACCTCTTAAAGGCTCTGCACCCCTTAATGGTGCCAAGCCTTCAACACAAGCCTTTGGGAAGCATTCCAGATCCAAGCAATGGCAGAAGGGATTACAGAAAGATACACATTCCATGTGACAAGGATGATTGTGGGGTCAGGATAGACACTGTAAACCAGAGTTACTAACTCTAAATATACTGAAATGTTTCTTGAGCTACCAGTTTTTAAAGGTATTGTGAGGGGGAAAAATGAGAACCAGGACTGGTCATGTAAAGGTACAAGATCCCAATAATGAATGTAACTGTACTGAATACCTAAAATGTATCAATGAACTCAATAAAAAGAAAAAAAAAGTATTGTGGATAAAAATTATGTTAAGAAATATGTTAATGAAGTTAATTTTAGAATTGGGGTACATTGCACAATATAAAGTTACAAGCTCATTTTTTAAATCATATTGGAAATATTTACTGCAATTATAACACTGATTTTATTTCATCTTAATAAATGCTTAATGTTTTCCATTCATCTTTTTGAAATGTGTGTTGGTAGTAGGATTTACTTTTGTTTCCACTTTTTATTTTTATTAGTACAAGTTGGCAGTGCATAATTACATTAATTGTGGGGAGTTGGTACATGTACATTACACATCTTAATTCTTTTTAACCCCCTTACTGTTACCTCTTTCTCCCCTTCCTCAATGTCTTAGTCCCAATCCCATTTGAAAAAGATCTGTCTCCTTCTTTCCTATTATCTATCCTTCATTTTGCTCTTTAATTTCTTTAAACTTTGGGTTTCTCATATCTTAGGGCAATATTTAAGCTTGTGTGTCTAATTTATTTCACTTAACATTATTGTCTTGGATGCATCCATTTTTCTGCAAGTGACTCAAGTGTAACCTTCTTTTTGGCAATGCAGTACTTCATTTTGTATAAACTCAATATTTTCTTTATCCATTCATCTGTTGATGAACACATAGGCTACGTCCATCTGGCCTTTATGAGTTGTGCTGTGATACATATAGATCTGCAAATGTCACTGTAATACAATGTCTAACTTTTTGTGGAAGAGCTGGGTTTAATGGAATTCTAGTTTTAGTTTTTTGAGAAATCTCTATACTGATTTTCACAGTGGTTGTATTAATTTACATTTCAAATAACAATGTAGGTGGGTTCATTTTCTCCACAACCTCACCAATAGTTGTTATTGTTTGATTTCTTCATGATAGTCATTATTTCTTAAGATGAAATATCAGTGTGTAATTCTAAAGACCAAAGATGTTGAACATTTTTTTCATATATTTACTGGCCATTTGTATTTTTTCCTCTGAAAAGTGTCTGTTCATTTCAATAGCCCATTTTGTTACTGGGCCTTTTTATTTTGGGGGCATTCTGGTGTTTTGGATTCTTTATAAATTCTAGATTTTAGTCTCTGCCCTAAGAGTTGCTGGCAAAAAATGTTTCCCATTCTGTAGATTGACTCTTCATTTTGTTGGTTGTTTCCTTTGCTATGTAGAAGTTTTTAATTTAATTTAATCATGTTTGATTTTTAAATTTTTTATACAATTGGGGTTCTGTTCAGAAAGTCCTTACCTATATCTGTCAAGAGTTTTCCTTTTTTGTCTTCCAACATAATTGAGTGTTTCTATTTTATTACTTAGATCTTTGATTCATCATTATTTCAGTTTAGTACATGGTGATAGATATGTATCTAGATTCAATTTTCTGCATATGGATAGTCAGTTTTCCCAGCATCACTAAAGAGGCTGCCCTTCCTCCATTTTATGTTTTTGGACCCAGTCAGATAGCTGACTGTGCCTGGGGTTGTGTCTTCATCCTCTATTCTGCTCCATTGATCGACTTTTCTGTTTTTGGGCCAGTACCATGCTCTTTTTTTAATCACTTGTAGCTTTGTAAAATAACTTGAAGTGCAGTATTATGATGCCTTCTGCTTTGCTCTTGTCACCCACAATTGTTTTTGCTATTCTGGGTATTATTTGTTCCACATAAATTTTAGGACTGTTTTCTCTAGTTTTATGAGGAATGAGGTTGAGATTTTGACTGGAATTGCATTAAATCTGTATATCACTTTAGGAAATATGGCTACTTTGACAATATTGGATCTTCCTATTCAGGAAAAGGATATCTTTCTCTTTTCTGAAATCCTCTTAGGTCTCCTTTTTCAGAGTACTGTACTTTAACTTGTACTTGTGAGGCAGGCAGCGGAACCACTGAGCTAAATCCCTGGCCCAGAGTACTGTACTTTTGTCATAGAGATCTTCCACTTTTTGGTCAGGGTCATTCTCAAGTAATTAATTTTTCATGTGTACTGTACTTTTGTCATAGAGATCTTCCACTTTTTGGTCAGGGTCATTCTCAAGTAATTAATTCTCAAGTAATTATGCTATTGTGAATGTCATTGTTTTTTTCTTTCTCAGTGATTATTGTTGTATGGGAACACTACTGATTGTGTGTGTGTGTGTTAATTTTGTATCCTACTACATTACTGAATCTGACTATTTAATTCTAGAAGCCTTTCGGCGGATTCCTTCTTGTAAAGAATCATGTCATCTGTAAATAGTATAATTTGATTTCTTCTTTTCCCATATGTATCCCTTTTATTTCTTTTGGTTATCTGATTTTGGTGACTAATGTTTCAAGGATTATGCTGAACAGTAATGATAATAGTGGCTATCGTTGTTTTGTTCATGATTTTAGAGGTAAAGCTTTTAGCTTTTTCTCATTCAATAAGATGTTGGCAATAGATTTGAAATAAATGGCTTTTATCAGAATAAGATAAGGTCCTTTTACACCTATTTTCTTCAGGGTTTATCATGAATGGATGTTGGATATTTTTTTCCTGCATCTATTGAGATAATCATGTATTTTTGTCCTTGCTTTTATTTATATGGTATATTACATTTATTGACCTGTATATGTTGAAACTTTCTTGTATTTCTGGGATGAGGCCTAATTGGTCTCAAACACTGTGCATTCTACACGGACTTCTCCACTTCTAGCCTGCCACATGGAAGGAATTATTTTCATGGTAAAACCCCATACTGTTTTTGAGGTTTACAATTGCTGAGGGCTTTTCTTGTGGCTTGTGATACCAGTGTGACCTGTTGCTTCTCCCAGGAGCTGCTGGCCCTCTCAGAGATTATTTTGTATCAGCAGAGACAGGTTTCCCTCTCTGGGTGCAAGTGTGAGCTTTCCAGACCTTGTCATTCTTTTCTCTGTATTGTGCTCTATTTCTCTAGCTTTCTCTGTACTTTCTAGTTCTCCTGTCAGCTCTCTCCTGATTCTTGAAGATATACTTTCATTTTTCTCTTCTGCTAGGTGCTGTTTTCCAAGGTATCTCTTTCACATCATAGAGAGCAGGAGGATTACTTTTAATAGTACTTTTAACAAGAAATTTTATTTTTCTTTAAATACTGTGTGTGTGTGTGTGTGTTTGTGAATGATAATTGAACCCAGAGCTTCCACATTGCGCTATATCCCAATTCCTTTATAAAGTTTTGTATTTTGAGATATAGTCTCACTAACTTTCCCAGGCAGGAGTCAAATTTGCAATCCTTCTGTGTAAACCTCCCAGAGTGCTAGGATTTCAGGTGCATGCCACTATGCCCAGCTTACAGACATAGAATTTTTAAAAGGTAAACTATGATATCTGAATAATAAATGGTTTCATTCTTCCTTTATATACGACTCATATATAATTAGCCCCAAATAAGAACACCAGAATTCAGCATACTTTACATAAGACTCTCTTCTCATACATAAATAATATTTTAAGATACAGATTAAACAGCATCATTAAAAATTAAGTAATGAGACATACCATTTTGATTTATCTTTTTATAACTTGATATAACATTAATGAATTATGTTGAATGAACATCATTTAAAACTTGACCTCTTTTAATAATTTGTCTTGGCCAGCTTGGACTCAGAGCCACCTCTTGTGCACGGTCCAGCCTGAACTATGGGCCTCCTCTGGAGCTGTGCCATTTCTAGTGGATGCCACTGATTGGCTGTGACACAGCTCCAGGTGGGTGAGTTTTGTCATAGCCCCAGCTTGAACACAGAGCCACCTCTGCTGTGTGGTCCGGCCGAAATTGTGGGCCTCCTCTGGAGCCGCACTGTTTCCAGCGGGCACCACTGATTGGCTCTGACACAGCACCAGGAGGTTAGCCGAGCAAGCACCCCTGAATGCCATTGCCACCCCCTGCTCCCAGCTATTAGATCCCCTGACTGAGCCAGTCCTTGGACGCGCTCTGCAGAGGCATGGCTGGCTATAAAGGGTGGTGATTGATCCTATTATGCTCCTGATTGTATCGATAGGGATAAAGGATAGGGATTGATTTGATGAGTTGTTTTCTCAATTATGAAAATGAGAATGTCTATAAGGCATTAGAGAATCAAAGACTGGGACACAACAATATCAGGAAGATTTAATGACCCAGAGATAGAATCAAGGGCAACCCAAAAGCAAAAATAAAGATCAGAAAATACTTAAACAAGCCACAAAAACAGACTTCCAGTCCACCAGTAGCAAACAGTAGGGCAAAGGAGGATGAAAAATCAGATAGTGAACCTCTAGGACACTCAGAACTCACAGCACAGGAAGTAAGAAAACTGATCAATAAAGCT